ATTTTATTATGTTGAACTTCTTTCGCACCGTATGTAGCCAGCCGTGTTCATCGGAGGTGATATAGTGACCCACTGTGAACTCTGGACATGCAATCGAGGCATTGGAGCAATGCCGCCACACACATCAGCTGAAGACGTTTTCTGGATATAAGCTCATCTGGGCATGAATAGCCGCCTTATTGGTTGCTTATTCATCCAGCCGTTTGCAAAAGGAGAGAGAAAAAATACAATCTCATAATGATATAACGCGTGGTAAACAGCTGTAGGAAATGTAAAAAATAATTACGGTCACTAGGTTACCGAGATATTCAGAGCGGCCTTGCAATAAGGATATCGAATCTCCGTGGGGAACGATGAAAGGAAGATGATTGCGCCATCCACACAGCCTCTACTGCCCCCTTGGATTGATCTAATACACCGAGCATTCAATTAGCGCGCGTTTCAAAACTGACGCTTCCCCTCGTGCCATATACGAAAGAAGGGAGACACGATCCAAAAAATAAAGTTAGTTTGAACATATTCTTGGTTTTTTCGGTAAAGTCACGTAGAAGGGAAATAATAAAATAAGAAATATAAAACATTATCAAATTCTCAGGACGTTTCGGCCACAACGCAAGCAGCCATTCTCAGGTGAAGAAACAGAGCTGTCGGAAAGACAGCGTCTGAATGAACACTGCTAAGCTTGGCAGCAGTATTTTAAGCTGGGTGGAAGGAGGAGAGAGCCTTGACAAAGTAAATACGCTGCCAAGCTTAGCAGTGTTCACTAAGACGCTGTCTTTCCGACAGCTCTGTTTCTTCACCTGAGGACGGCTGCTTGCGTTGTGGCCGAAACGTCGTGAGAATTTTATACATTACGTTTTATTTTTATTATTTTATTATTTCCCTTCTACGTGACTTTACCGAAAGAACCAAGAATATGAATCCCTGCAGTCACGAAAGCTTTAAATCGAAATTTAGTTTTAACACTTCGCCTTTCGCGACCGATTGTACGATTCATTACTTGATTTTTTGCGTCGGATTGCATAAGTAATTGCATGTCTTAAACCTCACCCCTTCTCACAATTCAAAAATTCTGGCGACGATGCTGGTTGTAACTGCCAGTGAAACATTGTACCAAATTGTTAAATGTGTGGATTGCTCTGCAACATGACACACTGGGGAGTGCTGAAGCAGTAACAACTTGGCCACGTTTGTTCAAGTAACAACTTTATACTGGTAGGAACCTCCTGGTTACACCAGCCCACAGTGGATTATTGTATCTGTCCGTCCGTCGTGCATCCAAAAATGGGACGGGTGGGGCTGGGTGGGGAGGGGCTGGTCACCCCGTGGTGCCCTTATAAAACTCAACGTTTAACCTACTCACGCCGGCTTGTGCCCGCCCTCACAGTCGGGCATATTTGCGGAATACACCACGCCGCCGTTGACCCTGGCCATTGACCGAGCAACCCAACGTTCCTACCAGCTCCCTCCACAGGAATGTGTTTAATTGGGCTGTGTCAGCTGGTGGAGAGTGCATGACACATGTTTTAATTACGCAATCTGTCTCAGAAAACTGTTATAAATGAGAGTCCTCTAGAGTGCATAGTACAATAAGTGTGTTTACGATGTTGGTAGATTGTATTGTGAAGCGATACATGTACAGTCTGTTCTCCTCTAACGCCGCATTTTTATCATGCGGATTGATTGATAACGCGATGGATGTATTAGGGAATACATTTTTGATAACACGGATGTGAATTGGATATATATGGCATGAGTAGGAATAAGCGGTTGTACGGCTGCCTCGGCGTAGCATCACGCAAGGCAGTGGGATGCTGCTGGATGCTTCTAGATGCTACTCACGCGCCTCAGTCTCTGTTCAGCCTGCGTAGGCATCGTACGTGTTGTCGCGGGCTCTGCTTTACCCTACATTACATATTATTCATTATCACGCGATTTTTCCATAATGCGGTGTTCTTCAGGAATGCAACTACTGCGTTAAAGGAGAAGAAACTGCATTTTGATTATTTTTCATCTGAAACACACTGAGATTGACCCCCTTTCCATTACCCCTTGGGTGATGGGGGTAGTGTTTTATGGGCTCATTGCTGCGTGCACAAGCGGCTACTTATTATGGATTGACGCAATCGCCTATCGTCAACACAGAGAAATCTATTTTGTAGCGGTGGCCCATGCGTCGCGAATGGAAAACACCAGCAACATAAGAGCCTGTGTTGACAGAAGACTGACATTTCATGGAGGCTCACTTTCCATTGGCAGTGTGAACTGCAGCTATCTTCGATGTGTGTGGCAGTGGGGAGCGGTGGAGCAGTGGTTGGTGCACTGCGCTAAGAACCCTGGTTTCAACTGCTGGCAGTCGACAACAGTTAGGTCAAATAGCTGCCTACGACAGGTCCCACACCTCTGATGAGCACAGTTGGTTTCGTACGGTGCAAAAGAAATTCAACATGCATACGTACGCTCATGCAGTGGACTGACAGTGGCCACACATAAGTGTGCGTTTAAACGCTGTATCCATAAACGTATGTGGAGGGTTTGATGGGTGGACTGTGGTGGGCGTATGGGTTTCCTGGAATCAAAGTAACATCCGTGGCATTTGGTATTAGAGGTGATGTGTGTGCCCCACTGTGCTCGCAGCATATTTGTGGGGGCGTTGTGCGCTTTCCTGAGGAAACGCTCGCGTCACCTTTGCTGACCCCTGTGCGGTTAGTTGGCAGGCGTGCTCACGACACCGCTCGATCTACTCTTGTTGACCACACGTCGCATGAGTTCGCGCGTACGGATGTGCGCACCGCGTGGGGTTGATTTTTCTCCTCGGTATTCCAAGCGCTACCCAGTCGCTATGATTTGATTTAATGACTAGCACGGTTGGCTACGTAGGGTGTGAAAGAAGTTCAACATACATACATAATGTCGTAGTCGTTTTAAAAACATGATGTGACACTACAGTAAGAGAACGTGGTAATTTATTTTCAACACGCGGGCTTTCGAAACCAAATTGATCCACGATTGATATTTGGGTCCGATTTCGCGGGTAAAACGCGTGTGTGGGCGCACATTGATGACGTCACACTACCTATTTAAGCCCCGCGACTGGAGGACATTTTCAATAATCTGACAACAAACCCGTGGTGCTGAAGCAGTCATAAACTGACACGTGTATTCACGTGACAATTTTATTAATTGGCTGCGTCGGGTCGAGGATCTGAACCAAAAATCTATTATGAATCATGGTAATTGATCGATTTTGAAAGCCCAGCGGTCCGTTTGTCCGTCGACTAAATTATAAGAGCCTTTCAGAAGGCCTGAGTTACAAAGTTATAGAAAGTGGACCCCCTTACATACAATAGTCAACAGTATCTGTAGGCATATATGGCTACACACCCTGCATACAACAGTCAATAATATATACTATCTACTGACTCTATGCCTACACACCCTACATACAATAGTCAATTGTATATGTAGGCATACATGCCTAGACCCTCTACATACAAGTCAGTAGTATCTACTATCTACTGACTATATATGCCTACACACACTACATACAATAGTCAGTAGTATCTACTGACTATTATATGCCTACACACCTTGCATACAATAGGGTCAGTAGTATTTACTATCTACTGCCTCTATATATGCCTACATACACAAGTCAGTATTATCTACTATCTACTGACTATTATATGGCTACACACCCTACATATGTAGTGTGGTTCAAGAAGACTTGGACGACGTAGTTGGAGGCACACTTATTTATTAAGTACCAAGTACAGAACAGGCCGGGATGTACAACACTGGAAGGGGTATCAGCCCCTTCACCCGTCTAACTGGGAGGTCAACTCTCTAGGTCACAGCTAGCCTACTCCTAGGTCCTCCACTACCGGGCTAGGGGAGGCTAGCTAACCCAGCCCTGGTTAAGCTGGGATTACGGCACACTGAGTCCCCAGACCGGCTCTGACAAGAGCATCGGCTCTGGGCTCTCGGGGCCACGCCACTGGCTCGCCCTGGTCGGCCCTGAGAAGGACAGCGATCCAGGGGAGTCCCAGGGCCTATCTAGCAGATCTTCTTTCTTCACTGATTAAAGCTGAACACACACTGCCCCGAGCCCTCCGGCTCACCGCCTTATATAGCAACTCCCCCCCTGAGGGGTGGGGCCGCGGGGGATCCCAGCTCCGTGTCAGCCCCCCAGGCTGAACGGTGCGGACGTCGCTGTAAGCACCTCCTCGCGTACAGACATAGCCACGCCCAGTGTGTTTGTTTCCCATCCGTAACAACTCTACAACACCCCCTCTGTAACACCTCTACACATGCACTAGTCAGTAGTATCTGCACACATGGGGGGGGGGGGAAGAGGACATCAGTGGGGGCGATGGGCGAGGTGCGTAGCGCTGAGAAGCCCTCTGCGGGAGCTAGAATAAGGCGGCCATAGGCCTCCGAAATTCTAGTTTGTTTAAGTGAGAGAAGCATTGCTGTATCACAAGGTGTACTTTGCAGGAGATCACTGTATCGGGTGTTTTTATGAAGTACAATTTCAGTCCATCGGTGTACCGGAGGAAATCGGAGTGTCTGGGGAAAACAAACTTACGTACAAGGGACACCACTCAAAGTTTGTGAAGATGGATCATGAAACATGTTGTTTGTACTACCTCCTCAAAGTACCAGTGTGATCCCACTCACCTTGGTGGGTGTCTTTGGCACATCGATACAGAACTCACATTCCCATCTGATGCATCATTTCGCCTGGCCTACTGCGCTCTGGATTACGCTGATGAATTACCACTCTCTCTTAAAAACAACTGGATATGAATGCACATGGCAAGGACTCACAATGTCCGAGTAATCATGGAACATTGGAACAACATTGCGCCGACATTGTTCCAATGGTCCCAGCCACATGCCAACCAACCATTGGCCCAGCGTCGCATGTTTACCGGGGCGTCCTTGCGTTCAATCGTTCGTAAGTCTGACACACTCTACTTGTGGGAATGTTGTCACAGGAAGCCACCGGAACTACAGAACCTGGCACCTGGCACGCACCCTCCGTTCCTGACGTTCAACGGCGAAGTGAAGACCGACGTGAACAAGATTGAGGAGTTCCTGGAGGAGCAGCTCTCACCCCCAAAGTACAACTTTGTCACGGCTTTGTCACGGCGTTTGCGCATGTTGTGCCACAGCATTATACTGTGTACACAACACAATGCACATTCCATATCGTACATCGCATTATAGTGTCTTCCAACACAGTGTGTATGGTGCTTTGTGTTGCACTGTGCATTGCAATGTATTAAGATACAATTATTACAGTGGTCCCTCTGTTAACGATATAAATTTATTCCAGTAAAACCATCGTTAATTGAAATTACCGTTAATCAAATATAGAAAATCCGTGCTAAATGCTTAATTTGTTCCAAAACGATCGGAAGTTTACCTTTTTCACCATAAAAACAGTTTATATTTAGACACACAACTTTAATAAATGTTACAAGAACATATTAAAGCATTAATATTGATAGAAAAATGGATAATTAATTAATAAATTGATAACACAATTGCGCAGCACTTTTTCAAAAATGTTCAAAAGAAAATTAAGGAGGTTCTCCTTACTGAAGCGTGAACATATGCACTATTTAACAAGTACATAACCACACAGGTTACAAATGCAATGCACATTGTACAGGGTGGTGTTTTGTGACCCCCCCCTCCCATTTAGTTCTGTAAAACGTAATTAAAGGCCGACTGAAACCGAAAGTAAAAAATTTACTTTCAGCCAAAACCGAAAGTTTAACTACACTTTCGACCGAGACCGAAACAGAAAGGGAAATAACCAAAGTTACCAAACACAAGATTTATGAAATATGTCATGATCCATAGCTACTTTAATTAAAAATAAATCTAGAACTAATCATTCAGAGCCTGTAGTAAGAGTCGCTAAATATCAAATCTTTGTGTGTTACTTACTTAGTAATTATATTCAAACAAACGGATGTTGTAGGTAAAAAAATCTAAGAGTAAGAAACAACAGTTTTTCCACATTCAGCCAGATGGCCTGCCGGCTGTTGACCGGTCGTATATACATTAGCAGACCGTGGTTGCGGCTGTAACCTCGCTCCCAAGCTGCTGCTGCTGACGTGTGTGTGTTTGCAGCCTATCGCATAGGATTGCCTAGCGCCGACTGACCAGCCGATAGGCAGAGTGATAGACATAGCACTCGCATTATATTCTCAAAATAGATGTTCGGTTGACGAATGACGACCGAAAGTCAATATCAGTTTCGGCCCAAACCGAAACCAGACCGAAAGTAAAACATTTACTTTTGGCCGAAACCGAAAGTACACCGAAAGTCAACCAAATCCTCAATCACATCAATTCCATACACCCAGCCATCAAATTCGCCATGGAGGTGGAAAAGGATGGCAAGTTACCATTCTTGGATGTTTTAATCGAAAAGAGACCAGATGGCTCAATAGGACACTGTTTACAGGAAAGCCACCCATATGGATGCCTACCTAAAACCTGACTCCCGCCACCATCCATCCCAGAAGAATTCCCTCAATAATACTCTACACCATAGAGCTCGATGTATTTCCGACCATCATCATCTAGCTAGTGAACTGGAATACGTTTACCAAGCCCTCAAGATGAATGGATATTCAGACCACACAATCCATAAAGCTATCACCCCAACCGTTGGGAAAGAACCATCTGAGGACCCAATCAAAACCATCACCTTGCCATACATAGCTGGGGTCACCAAAAAGATTTCCAAAATCATGAGCAAACACAAGATCCAGGTTCGATTTAACACAGTACATAAAATGTGTGATCTGATCCCATCTGTGAAGGATGTGATCCCTGACGTGCAATACCCCGGTGTCTAGAAACTAAGCTGTGTCTGCGGCAGTAGTTACATTGGGGAAACTAAGCGACATGTCTCGGACCGTGTTCGTGAACATGAGGCAGATCTGAAACACGGTAGGACCAATACATCGGCCGTAGCTGATCATTGTTTTAATGCAGTGGGCTCACACGAAATTGATTTCTCTAAGACAAAGGTACTTTGCAAACCCACTGGCTATCAACAAAGATTCGTTCATGAAGCCATCCATATATATAGACACAGACACAATTTCAACCGAGAAGATGGATACAAACTGAGCAATCATTAGAAGGACGTTATTGACCAGTTTAAGTCATAACTGCCTGTGATGTTCCCATCCTACCACCTTCCGATGTTAGTTGTTATTTTCGGCTCTGATTTTTTACATTAACAGATTAAATTGGTCCAACACCATGTGAGACTAGGCTCTAAGGAAAGCTGTCTCGGGTGTGGACCAATCAACTTCAAGGACAGTGCATACATTATCAGAGTTATGTTTTTTGTTTGCATTATGACTGCAGGTATTGTCGTCTATGCAAACATGACTCCTCGTAAAAAAGGTGTCAGTTTTGTTGCCAGATAAAAGGGTAAAAACCCAATTATCAGATTAAATTTCTCACACTAACACAGCCACCTCGCGCACCATCCTCACGGTTGCTGCTCAGCGATCTCCCATTAACATGCTAATCACTCACATTAACATGCAAATTTTTAACTGGCAGCCCTTTGATTGGTGGAAAACCCACCACCGCCGCAGTCGCTGCCCACCACCTACATTAACATTGGCTGCTGACATTTGGGCTATGTCCATTTCAAACCCTTATAAACAGTTGTCTTTAGAAGCTAAGCTCCCTTTTCCTGATGATGACCGCTTATGTTGCGATCGAAACGTCATAGTTTTTTGTGATTTTCTTTGAACCTATCTACGTGACTTTACCGAAAGATCCCAAAGAATAACAATGTACAATGCTTTGTAATATAATATATTTTATAATCCAATTATACTAATATACCATGAATTAGGAAAGTAATTTTAATTATAATAAATATATAAGGCAACTATTCTTTCTTATATCTGAATCAAAACAATCTTTACCAATGAAGTAATGAAGTCGCCATCCTCCATCCTCGGTCTCCACGTGTGGACCAGGCAGCACGTTGGCTGTCCGGGTCCGGTGACAGAAGAGCCACAAGTATTAGCGTAGTTAGCCGTGGTGGTCACCACCCTATGTTACAATCCTGTTAAAGAGTTACCCGTTGTGTTGCCTCCGAGTACAAGGCTGCGTCTAATTCACGCACTACACTTTCATTCACATTGCAATGTATTCAGTTATGATACAATACATATTGCAGTGTAGCACAATACAAAGTGCATACAATATAATGTATACTCGTTGGTTCTTTCAGTAAAGTCACGTTATACCTACGTGACTTTACCGAAAGAACCAAAGAGTATGGATTCCTGCAGTCACGAAAGCTTCAAATTAAGAATATAATGTATATTGTAGCACAATACAATGTGCATACAATATAATTTATATTGTAGCACAATACAATATTACAATACAACATTGTGCTAATTCTAGATTTGAAGTTTTCGTGACTGCAAGGATTCATACTCTTTGGTTTTTTCGGTAAAGTCACGTAGGTAAAAAACTTAAAATCAAATAAATCACGACGTTTCGGGCGCAACACAAGCGTCCTTCTTCAGGTGGGGACAACTTAGCGAAAGCACACTACAATGATATGATACAATACAATGCGGATTCACTGAGCGTCTAAATGCAACCCCATCTCAAGGCACTGCACAGAAACGTCAAGCATTCAACGCTGCGTGCAGTGCAGAGTGCGACATTGTTGAGTTATAGTAATAGGTTTTTACCCTTTTATCTGGTACAAAAACTGACACCTTTATACAAGGGATCATGTTTGCAATAACCACAACACAAGCAGTCAAAATGCAAAGGCATCATCTGGTCTGACACCAATGGAGACTAGGCTCTAAGAAAAGCTGTCTCGGGTGTGGACCAATCAACTTCAAGGACAGTGCATATCATTATCATCATTAGAGTTGTTTCTTTTTGTTTGCATTTTGACTGCTTGTGTTGTGGTTATTGCAAACATGATCCCTTGTATAAAGGTGTCAGTTTTTGTACCAGATAAAAGGGTAAAAACCTATTACTATATTTTGATACTGGTAAAGGAGGTCTCACAGTGTAAATTGTTGAGTTACGCCGCGGTATCATCGGGCGCGCTTTCAATGAGGGTGGCCGCGAAATGCCAGTACCACGATGTACCGTACGATGCAAGGTCCCGCGGTAATTGTATCAGTTTGCTCATGCCATTATCATTGAAGGGGCACTGCATCACCGATGTCTGCTCGTTGTCTCTCTCCGTGCGGTGGATTGCTACTCTGGCAGTTACGTGCGGCTGGCGGCCAGGCACCGGGAGTCGAACCTGGCGGGAAACGATATCTTTGCCAAGTTCTCGGCCTACATCAAGAACGCCAAGAAGGAGGCCAATGACAGTACGTAACGGAGCATCTAAATCCGCAGATGAGTGAACGCCTGTGCGTGCATTGGTGCCGCAACTCTCACGAACCTCAGCACACCCATCAAACGACGCTGGCTAAATATTATTATGCTACATATATAGTTTTGGTGATCTGTGCCTAACGCCTGACACTCCGTACGCTGTGTGTAACGTTGAATGTCTTTTTAATGAAGGGCTTATTATTAAAATTGTAACTAATTATTAGTTTCATATTCTTGGTTCTTTCGGTAAAGTCATTATTATGTTGAATTTTTATTATTTTATTATTTCCCTTCTACGTGACTTTACCGAAATAACCAAGAATATGAATCCCTGCAGTCACGAAAGCTTTAAATCGAAAATTATTAGTTTGTTACAAGGACAAAGTTTATACCAATGATAGCAAGTACACATCATTACATCAGAGGTGGGGGGGTACCTATATGACCTGCAACATCACTTCATAGAGGCCACGGTCATACGAGGCCGACCGCTTCAATTGCAGTGACATTAATCTGTCACTGCAATTAACATCTTAGCCGCACTAATCAGGTACCCGGTAACACTGTGTGTCTAAGTTTAGGCCGCTCTATCACTTATATCACTACAAGGGCATCTTGGAGTGATAGAAGTGACTGAAGTGTGTGGTTAATGTGTGGCTGCTCGCCAAAGGTATTTGACATTGCTATTGGACCCACAGCAATAAGGAAATGATTCACCACGCCATTAACAAACGAATAGAGAGTGATTATCGCAAGCAACCTTGCAAGTTCGAGTGTCTTTTTACGGCCACTGTTCGTTGCAATCGCCTACTTGCTCGTGGGAAGTCGTGTGTGTGTGTGGGGCAGGCCCGGACTGGCCAGAGGGCAGCAGTCCGGGCAAATGCCCGGTGGGCCGGTCCATTCGGAGGCCTGGCGGGCTGGTCTGTGTGGGGAAATTGCAAATGTGATCGGAGTACATTTTTTTTTATTAATGTTATTATGTCTAATGTGTCTGCTTCATTGCTGATTTACGCTCTCAGTTGGCATTAAGGCCCCATATTCAGCAGCTCAAAAGATCACTTCCTCACCGGCCCCATTTGGGTTTTGGACCCAGCCCCAAATGGGCCCAATGAGATCGCACGACAATTTGGGCCCTGCTGTGTTTACAAAATGCCAGGGACAATTTTTAGTCCCGGTCTGTCACTGGTGTTGGGGTAACATTAGCCTGCTGTTGATAGCTTAGTGAAGCCTCTCGAAGGCCGGGTTAAACGAGGGGGGAGGATCTTTCCGGTGATGGGAGTGTTCCAGCATCCTACAAATACTTTGTAGACAGTAAATTAATACGCTTAAATACATTCACTTTAATTAACATTTAGTGTTCAATAAATAAGAACCAAATGTTGACTTAACGCTTTAGTGACTGCAGGAATTCATACTCTTTTTGGTTCTTTCGGTAAAGTCACGTGGAGACAAAAATTATCAAATAAAATCACGACGTTTCGATCGCAACACAAGAAATCGTCTTCAGATGAAAAATACAGCAGGCGGACTGCTGAGGCAGGAAAATATTATATTTATTCCTGCCTCAGCAGTCCGCCTGCTGTATTTTTGTTGCGATCAAAACGTCATGATTTTGTATTATTTTATCATTTTTCTATCTACGTGACTTTACCGAAAGACCCAAAGAGTAATAACCAAATGCTAATAACTTTGCCAAATGTGTTTTTTTACAAAATGAATAACTCTGCAAACATCACTCAAGTTTAATCTGAGCAAATTATTAAATTATTAGTGTCAACTAGAGGGAAAAGTTTGAGGTTCCAGGTAAAAAGTAAAGTTGGATTTTTTTGGACTAATTAATATCTTAATTTATTGACACAATTATTGCCCATTAACAAGAGAGTACAAGGCCATCACAAGGAAACCATTCTGTAAACTGATGCAAACTGTGAAGTGATGGCCAGTGGGTGCCTCATGGCCACAGAGAGCCGCATCCTCCGATCCACAGCATAATGACGGCAAGTTCAGCATTCCGCTGCCATTTTTTCCCGAATTTTCATCAATTTTTCAGGGAGCCTTTCGCCAAGTCCGGCTTGCAGGGGTTTTAACCGCAGCGTCCGCCGCATGCTCCGTGTCCGCTGGCAGATCTCGAGAAGGCTCTGCTCAAGGCCTTCAAGAAGCTGGACGACTACCTGCTGTCGCCCCTTCCCGAAGAGATCGATGACTGCAGCATGGGGGATGACGGAATCTCCCCGCGCAAGTTCCTGGACGGCGATGAACTGACCCTCGCCGACTGCAACCTCCTGCCCAAGCTGCACATTGTCAAGGTGACAGTCCCAGTCACTTGGTGAACGTGGCAGTCACTTGGTGAACGTGGCAGTCCCAGTCACAGCTTTCAACTTCCATCAGGATGTCCTTTTTTGTTTACATGACAAACCTCACTAATTGGCTGTGTTGGGTGGTGGTGGTGGTGGGTTAACGACATATTTATAATTACGCGATCTAACCCCAAAAAACTCTTCATAACCCGTGTTGTGACACTAGTCCCAAGTGAAATCTGAACTTGGCCTCTTTGAAGTTATTCGTGACCATTAATGATGATGTAGCTGCTCACCACGAGATATAAATGCTCGTCTTATGGTGTTCTCTGGTCTGGCACCGGTGAGACTAGGCCATGAAGAAGGCCGTCTCTGGTGTAGGCCAATCAGTTTCAAAGACGATGCATGCATCATCATCAGGGCATGTTTTGTTTGCATGTTTTTGCCACAAGTCCGTGTGGTTAATGCAGACTTGATTAATTGCAAAAGGTTTCTATTTGGTGCTTGACCATCTTAACACCCCCTGTTTATTGCCAAAAAGGTAAAAAAACTATTTTTTTTATACCATTAATCCATTGGCGCTCATCCATCTGTCTCCCAGCCTGTATTGGAAAACAGGACAAATTGATCAAATGGTAGCCCAAAACTTGCCAACAAAAAAAAAGCGATAATGGTTGAGCCTTCTTGGCCAGCGTGATGATGCCACACGCGACACACACGCACCACACACGCACACACGCACCACACATGCACACCACATACACACCACACACACCACACACACGCACCACACACACGCACCACACACACACACACACCACACATACACACACACCACACACACCACACACACCACACACGCCACACACGCCACACACGCACCACACACACCACACACACCACACACACCACACACACACCACACACACCACAAACGCGAACCCGCGGTGACATCGTCTTGCCTAACTTTTGCCTCGGCCCACCGGCGACTTCGCACGTGACATTTAAAATTCTCATTTAAATGACTTCCAACGACGTGAGTGAATGCGTGCGTTGAGAAGCCATGACGCCAATATTCAATGGCGTTCCCCGTACGTTTTCCTCCATGTTCTATTCTTGCGTAGGGTCTTGTGGTCAGATGTCTGGGCAGCCACGGGAGGACTTCAGGAGCGAGTTTGTGCGGGTTGGCCATTCCTCTGTTGAAGTGGCGCAGACTACAGTGGTTTACTATCCCGCACGGTCCAAATATTCCCTTGCATGGCCACGATCGCACCGCTGTGGCTTGCGTCAAAATTTTCCATTCATGATGGAGATGGGCGCGTCGGCCTGTTGATGTTCTGACGCGGTTGATGGTTCCGCTGGTGCCTTCGAGGAGGAATGACGGAGCCAGGAGGTGCAAATGGCTTGTTTGCGTCTCAAAGGAGGTGTTCATAACAGAAGAGACTAAAACAAAACCTCGTTTTCTTTTGTGTCGCAGATTGTGGCGAAGAAATACCGGGACTTCGAGATCCCGGCCGAGATGACGGGCGTGTGGAAGTACCTGCGCGGTGCGTACGCGCGCGACGAGTTCACCAACACGTGCCCCGCCGACCGCGAGATCGAGCTGGCCTACGCGGACGTGGCCAAGCGGATGAGCTGAGCCGCCCCGGCGCCCGATCGAAGGCCCTCCCGGCAGCCCTCCCGGCAGCCCACGCGTAGCTCCCGGCAGCCTCGCGACGTACGCACCCACCACCTCGTTTCCCCCAGTGCCCCTCCACGCTCGGCTGCAAGTGGGCGAAGCTGTGCACCTCCCTGCAAACCCCCTGCTCCACCATCATCCACGTGGTGCCCCAGCACGCGCGATTCACCCGCTAGGGACGAATCTGACACCGGGGGGGCGCTGGTGGGGACGGTAGAGTGTGTTGTGTTGTGCGGGTTTCGGTAACATAGGGTGTGAAATGATATCTTTGCCAACTCTTTAATATGTACAGTATACATATATATGATGGGGCGGGGGGGGGGCTAAAACTAACAACGCATTTGATCTAACTATAGTTCGCCCGATAAGTCAATCAGTTGACCCCTTCAAGGTCACCATGTCGTTGTTTTCCACACGCGCTCGCGGGCGACAGCAGTCCCCGTGGACCGCGCTGCTCGTTGCGCTCGGCGCTTTGCCACGGCTCTGTGCAGCAGTCGCGGGAACGCGTGACATGATGTTTCAGGCAAGGGGCAGCACTGACGGCAGTGCGGGTCGGGGGGGGGGCTCCGCACGGTCTGGTAGTCGTGGGGACGCGTATCATTCACGCACGTTGCCGTCAGTCGAGTAGCGGCGGCGTGTCTGAACTATTCGCTAAACGTGTAGATCTCATCCGCCGACGCAATGATGCATGATCGTTATATTCATCGATAATAATTCGTTATCGCAACTTTGGACGTGGCAAACGGCCAACCCGCGACGCATAAATCACACGGCGGCGCCTCGCGCTCTCGTACGTAGCTGTTGTTACGAAGAATGGCCCATGCATGCCCCTTGCTTGCTCGCTCGCTCGCTGGCACGTTACGTCCACCCCGCGGCGGTGGCAGCCTCGTCCACCATGGTGGACTTTAGCCCGGACTCTGCCGGTGACTGGGTCCGACGAAGAACGTCCATGCGGGAGCACCCCCCTCTCTGTCCCGAGACCACCCCCCCCCCCCACTCCAATCCGCTGACCTTGCTTCTCATTCTCTGCCGCTAACTCATGACAATAATATTTCTTCCCCCAACCCCGGCCGCACCTCCGAGTAGCACGGTTGGCGACGTACGGCACAAAAGACGTTCAATATACGAACCTTTAGGTGCGGACATTGTATTCGCGCCGTCCTGAAAGTGCCAGGCTCTCACGGGGGTGCTGTGAGTTTAGTTTGCCGCTAAGGAGCAATGTTGCTGCTGTGTGATTTTACCCAATTATACACCGTGAGTGGGTGCGGTGCGGTGGGGGGGGGTCACCAATAAGAGTGGGCAATGCATTTAAATCGCCTTTCCCCACGTGGCGTTTTGCGCACACGCGTAGCGACCGTGAGCCCCACGCGCACGGTGGCAGATAGTGCGGAGTTCTTTGTGGTGGTGGTGGGGGGGGGGGTGCGCGGGTTGAGTTTGGCGGGTGCTTGCAAGTCGATTGCCGTGGTTCGTGTTTGGTGTGTGCATCTCTGCCGTGCGGGCTTCCAAAGCTTTGCCCGAAGGCCTCTGCGTTGGGCTCAGAGAGAGAGAGAGGCACGCTGGAACCCCGAGAGCAGGCGATACGAAAATTCAACACCGATATTTATTTTTAAAAATAATTATCCTTTAACGTTCCTGAAGATGAGCGTGCAAGCAAAGGGAATAAATATTTCTTCTTCTTAGCAGCAGCATCAGAGTTTAAATAAATAATATTTCCTTAATCTTGTTAATGTACGGTTGTTCAATCGGCAACATTACACTATTGAAAGTTAAAAAAAGAATTGCAAATAAATTGGCATCGGCCGTAGAATGTAAAAAAATGGCTTGCAGTTTACCACGACAGATTTTTTTGTTCATATTGCGAAAGTATTATTACGTTTTAAATACATTTAAAAAAAGTGTTTCTCATTGGCAATTGTACATATGCACCAGCGAACGCAAACGCCCTGTTTCTCAGAGCGGGCGTGAGAGTCGGGGGTCGCATGCACGGCTCCCATGTGCTGGCTTTGCGCTCTCAGTTCATCACTTCATCACTGGCTTGTTACAATATCCACAAACGGTAGCGCTGGGGTGATCATCGGCGAATGTTGATGAGCACCCCACCCTGGTAACAATCTGCACATGTGTTCTCTGTCTCTTCTCCACACACACGCATGTAACTTTGGCATAACAATGTAAAGAGTGTGGCTATGTTGTTTAGGACTATTTATGAATTATCTTTTTTTTTTCTTTTGGTTTCTCTGCATGGTAAACGAGACGCAGTTCACCATTAGTCGGCCCCTTTATGCTCTTGTAGCACCAGTACAATATCACGAGTTTGTTACGTCGGCAACGTTACGTCTGTATTTATGCTGAAAGTTTAATAAGCGCATTACCTAATGCGTATGCTTAGATCCTGTATAGAACCCACCATTTGAGTATTTTAGTTGGAATCCCCTATTCGCTCGTGGGAAGATGTGTGCGTGTGTGCGTGTGTGTGTGTGGGAGGTAACATTGTGGGGAGCGGTGGTGTAGCGGTTAGCGCACTGCGCTAGGAATCCGGCGACCCGAGTTCGATTACCGCTCACGGCCAACACCAGTGACGATTATCTGAACCGGTCTTGGGCCTCCCCTAGGTCTACTTAGCCTCTAATGAGTACCTGGTGCGATGTGTAAGCATCGCTACTTGGGAGACAAAGGCTGGTCGGGCGTGGTACTGGCCACCCAACCCCCTTGTGTGTCGTTCCGGCCTTCATAGGTGCTCGCTAACAGCACTTGCCCCAACAGTCTGTTAAAGGTATACGAGGGTGGGGGGATATTTGTCTTTGTCTAGGTCCTGTATGAACCCCACTATTAAGCATTTTCGTGCACAAAGGAATGTATCTCAGTTTGCTCTCCGAGTTTGATTTTTTTTATTTTAATTAAAGCGCAAATCGAGCTTTTGTACGTGGTTCATGGAAGCCGTCGCTTCCGCATGTGTTTGCGTGTCAAATGGGTAAGTCGTTTTCAGAATAGAAAATACGCTGCAATGCGCCGTTTTTATTTGAATTCGCTCGCTCGTTCATTTCTCAATCCGCTTGTCCCGGTGAGGGTCGCGGCGGCAGCTTGTTGAGTGGGACGGTGCAGATCTTCCTTTCCCTGGCGACAGACTCCAGCACTATTACACTTTACACTACACTATACACTACACTGCTACACTACTATACTATACACTACACTATACACTACTATACACTACACTATACACTACTATACACTACACTATACACTACTATACACTACACTATACACTACACTATACACTACTATACACTACTATACACTACACTATACACTACTATACACTACACTATACACTACACTATACACTACTATACACTGCACTATACACTACTATACACTACACTATACACTACTACACTATACACTACTATACACTACACTATACACTACACTATACACTACTATACACTGCACTATACACTACTATACACTACACTATACACTACACTATACACTACTATACACTACACTATACACTACACTATACACTACTATACACTACACTATACACTACACTATACACCACTATACACTACTATACACTACACTATACACTACTATACACTACTATACTATATACTACTATACACTACTACACTATACACTACTATACACTACACTACTATACACTACTACACTATTATACACTACTACACTATACACTACTATACACTACAACACTATACACTTCTATACGCTACAACACTATACACTACAACACTATACACTTCTATACACTACACTACTATACACTACACTATACACTACTATACACTACAACACTATACACTTCTATACGCTACAACACTATACACTACAACACTATACACTTCTATACACTACACTACTATACACTACACTATACACTACACCAGGGGTCCTCAAACTTTTTAAACAGGGGGCCAGTTCACTGTCCCTCAGACCGTTGGAGGGCCGGACTATAGTTAAAAAAAACTATGAACAAATTCCTATGCACACTGCATATATCTTATTTTGAAGTAAAGAATCAAAACGGGAACAAATACAATATTTAAAATGAAGAACAAGTAAAGTTAAATCAACGAACTTGCCAGTATTTCAATGGGAACTATGGGCCTGCTTTTGGCTAATGAGATGGTCAATGTCCGGTTCCATATTTGTCACTGCTAGTCGTAACAAGTGATGCAAGTGTGCATCCGTTAGTCTAGATCTGGTTGGAGATTTCAAATGTTTCATTCTGGAAAAAGTCTGTTCACAGACATAAGTGCTGCCAAAGATGGTTGCCATTTTGAGTGCATGGTTCCTGAGAGGAGGATATGTCTCAGAGGGGAGAGATGCATATAAATTATGAAGGCTGCTTGACTTGAATGCGTCTTTCAGAGAGTCACAATTCTGCAGTTCAGCCAGTTCCATTTGGTAAATTGTATCCACATTTTCAATGTCAATAGAAAATGGGTTACGGAAAAGCTGTATGTCCTGTTCATGGAGATGAAGCTCTTTAAATCCAAATTGGAACTCCTTTTGCAATTTTTCCAGTGAATCCACACATGTTTTGTTTGGGAATGCAACCAATGGTTTTTCCGCTAACAGATTTTGAGTTGTGGGGAGATGGCAGAAGTTTTCCTCCTTCACTTGTTTGATGAGGAGGCCTAATTTTACTTAAAATGCTTTGAAATCTGATTGCATATCACAGATGAGCTTCCCCTTTCCTTGAAGTTGCACATTGAAACTGTTGAGTAGCTCTGTTACATCTGTCAGAAAGGCAAGATGCCATTTCCATTCTGCATCATTGAGCTCTGGTACTTCTTTGTTTTTTTAAAGCAGAAAAGCTGTAATCTGTGGAAGTAAGTCATAGAAACGTTTCAAAACTCTCCCTCGACTCAGCCAACGGACTTCTGTGTGATACAGAACATCTTCATATTCAACATTTAGCTCAGACAGAAATTCCTGAAATTGTCTGTGGTTTAGTGCATAAGCTCTAATGAAGTTAACACAAGATACCACAAATTTCATAACAGAGTCCCACTTCAGTGATTTACTACACAGCGCTCGTTGGTGGATGAGGCAGTGTATGGCTATTGGATGAGAATGGTTATGTTTGTCCATCTCTTGGTTAATGCGAGCAATTACTCCTTTCTTAGACCCCACCGTGCTAGGAGCACCATCAGTTGTCACACTGGCTAGTTTAGCCCAGTTCAGCTCCAAACCATTCAGTTTGGCAAACCTTTTCATAGATATCCTCTCTTCTTGGTTCTTTCGGTAAAGTCACGTAGAAGGGAAGTAATAAAATAATAAAAATAAAACATAATAAAATAATTCTCACGACGTTTCGGCCACAACGCAAGCAGCCGTCCTCAGATGAAAACCAGGTCTTTCGGGGAGACAGCGTCTGAATGAAACAGCACACGAGCTTGGAGCATACAGTGAGGGAAAAAAGTATTTGATCCCCTGCTGATTTTGTACGTTTTCCCACTGACAAAGAAATGATGAGTCTATAATTTTAATGGAAGGTTTATTTGAACAGTGAGAGACAGAATTACAACAACAAAATCCAGAAAAACGCATATCAAAAATGTTATAAATTGATTTGCATTTTTATTAGGGAAATAAGTATTTGACCCCCTCTCAATCAGAAAGATTTCTGGCTCCCAGGTGTCTTTTATACAGGTAACGAGCTAAGATTAGGAGCACACTCTTAAAGGGAGTGCTCCTAATCTCAGCTTGTTACCTGTATAAAAGACACCTGCTCACAGAAGCAATCAATCAATCAGATTCCAAACTCTCCACCATGGCCAAGACTAAAGAGCTCTCCAAGGATGTCAGGGACAAGATTGTAGACATACACAAGGCTGGAATGGGCTACAAGACCATCGCCAAGCAGCTTTGTGAGAAGGTGACAACAGTTGGTGCGATTATTCGCAAATGGAAGAAACACAAACGAACTGTCAATCTCCCTCAGCCTGGGGCTCCATGCAAGATCTCACCTCGTGGAGTTGCAATGATCATGAGAACGGTGAGGAATCAGCCCAGAACTACACGGGAGGATCTTGTCAATGATCTAAAGGCAGCTGGGACCATAGTCACCAAGAAAACAGTTGGTAACACACTACACCGTGAAGGACTGAAATCCTGCAGCACCCGCAAGGTCCCCCTGCTCAAGAAAGCACATATACATGCCCGTCTGAAGTTTGCCAATGAACATCTGAATGATTCAGAGGACAACTGGGTGAAAGTGTTGTGGTCAGATGAGACCAAAATGGAGCTCTTTGGCATCAACTCAACTCGCCGTGTTTGTAGAAGGAGGAATGCTGCCTATGACCCCAAGAACACCATCCCCACCGTCAAACATGGAGGTGGAAACATGCTTTGGGGGTGATTTTCTTTTAAGGGGACAGGACAACTTGACCACATCAAAGGGACGATGGACGGGGGCCATGTACCGTCAAATCTTGGGTGAGAACCTCCTTCCCTCAGCCAGAGCATTTAAAATGGGTCGTGGATGGGTATTCCAGTATGACAATGACCCAAAACACACGGCCAAGGCGACAAAGGAGTGGCTCAAAAAGAAGCACATTAAGGTCCTGGAGTGGCCTAGCCAGTCTCCAGACCTTAATACCATAGAAAATCTGTGGAGGGAGCTGAAGGTTCGAGTTGCCAAACGTCAGCCTCGAAACCTTAATGACTTGGAAAAGATCTGCAAAGAGGAGTGGGACAAAATCCCTCCTGAGATGTGTGCAAACCTGGTGGCCAACTACAAGAAACGTCTGACATCTGTGATTGCCAACAAGGGTTTTGCCACCAATTACTAAGTCATGTTTTGCAGAGGGGTCAAATACTTTTTTCCCTCAATAAAATGCAAATCAATTTATAACATTTTTGACATGCGTTTTTCTGGATTGTTTTGTTGTTATTCTGTCTCTCGCTGTTCAAATAAACCTACCATTAAAATTATAGACTGATAATTTATTTGTCAGTGGGCAAACGTACAAAATCAGCAGGGGATCAAATACTTTTTTCCCTCACTGTATATATAAGCTGGGTTGGAAACGGGGGAAAGAGCGCCTTGTCAAAAGAATTTGCATATCAAGAGGAATTTAGCATATTTATGGGAAATGCAGGATGTTATTAGTACTACATATGCCCGTGCTGCATATGTTGTACTAATAACATTCCTGCATTTCCCATAAATACACTATATTCTGGCATATCAGACACACAGCTCTTTCCTTGTACTGCATGAAAAAGTAATCATAAGTCCACTGTTCTTTGAATATCCTACACTCCGAGTCACTTTTTCTCTTTCTTGACATCATTGTTTCCTAGGGAGTCAAAATTGCTATTAGTAAAATACCAATATATATACAGCGCTACAAAAACAATATACCAGCAATAACTTTGCCCACAGAGACATACAGACTGCACTGCCCATCAATGCAGTCTGATTGGGGGGAACTCCGCCCCCTCTCCCTCTTCCACCAATGACCGTCCTTCTCATGCAGAAAAAAAGTAACAGACAGGCAGCGGCGGCAAAAACACCCGGCGGGCCAGATAAATGTCCTCGGCGGGCCGCATGTGGCCCGCGGGCCGTAGTTTGAGGACCCCTGCACTACACTATACACTACTACAACACTATACACATCTATACACTACAACACTACACTACTAAACTATGAACAGACTTTCGGTGGGGCTCCCAAGAGCGCCCTCTGGTGGAGGAGGCCCTGCCACCACCAGGGGCGTGAACACGACGTTTCAGGGTTGCACCCCAACACCTGAAGGCCCTTCAAGTTTCGGCTCAGGTTGTGGTCGATGGCTACACCGGACCGCCAGCCAAGAGGACAGAAAGTTATAGGGGATGGGGAGGGGGCACTTGAGGAGCCACAAGGTGGCACAGACATTC